TGTCGAATGCCTTTTCGAAGTCGATGAAGTTGAGGTAGAGACAGGTTTCACTGTCATTCTATACTTTTCAAGTATTGGTTTGTAGGGATTTGATTGATTGGTTACAGAATTTCATCATGAGCTGACATTGGTTAGAGAACCATTGGAAAACCTGCAGGGAATACTGGACAGCTGTTTCGTCAGCTTAGTTTGGGACTCTTCACAGTATGCACGCATCAGGGTTCTCTAACCGATGTCAGCTCATGATGAAATCCTGTAACTAATCAATCAAATCCCTACAAAACCAATACTTTAAAATCCATGAGATGCTCACTAGCGACTGGCCCTATTCAAGTAGGTAGTTACCTGGGGTTCCAGTGGGAAGTCGTGACCAGTACGGTGCAGCAGGTCGGATATGAGGGCAAATACTCGCCACGGATGACATTGGCTACTGGTCGCGCTATGTCGTGAATTGACACAAGCTGGAATTCATGGATTGGCGTGTCCCAGTGGCTTAATGGTGTACGAGCTCGCCTTGTAACCCAAAGGTCCTGGGTTTGAACCCCGGTGGGTGCATACTAATGAAGAGTCCCAAACTTATCTGATAAAACAGCTGTCCAGTAAACCTTCAAGGTTTTTCAATGGTCCTCTAATTGATGTCAGCTCATGATGCAATCCTGTAACCATTTTTACGCCTTGTTCAATGACGATGAGCCAATCACCATCAATGGGAGTAATTTCACAGAGATTACCTCCTTCACTTATCTAGGAAGCATCATTTCAAACTCAAGAAATGAAACGGATGAAGATGTCAAAATCAGGCAAGATCGGAAAGGCAACATACATCGCCAACAATCTGAAATCAGGTTGGAAATCTTTCGCACTCCACCACAGTATAAAGAACAAAATTCGGATTTTCAACATCAATGTTAAGTCAGTTAGCCAGTCACTTTGTCCATATAAGTGAGAAATTTGACTCACAGCTTCACGAAAAGCATCTATCAACTATCCACAATTAAAGATCAAATCTGAAAGAAATCTAAACTTTTATGAAACTATAACCAAAACAACTGTTTGGGAATTCCCCACCACCCTCCTGACTATTCTAATTTTCTCCTAGACTGTATATCAAGTGCTGATTTGAACCTTATTATTTTTGTCTTTGTTCCTGTTTATAGTTTATAATTTTAATTTTCTATAGTTGATTTTTAAAGATTAGATTTATTTTGACGAGTTGATCACGGATTGGTATCAGTTAGAGAACCATTGAAAACCAGCTAGCACTGGAGTACTGGACAGCTGTTTCATCCTAGCTTTGGAATCATCGGCAGTACCCATCCTCTGCCAAAGTTCGAACCTAGGACCTTCGGTTACAAGGCATTTGTTGGGGTCGCGCTAAATAATGAAATGGTAGAAGTTAGAATTCATGGGTTGGTCATTGAATCGGGTCACATTGGCTGAATGGTATACGACCTTGCTGGCCTTGTAACCGGAGGGTCCTGGGTTCGAACCCTGGCGGTGGGTGTGCACTGACGATGATTCCGAAACTAGGATGAAACAGCTGTCCAGTACTCCAATGCTGGTTTTCAATGGTTCTCTAATTTTAATGCCTCTCTTTGTGGTTGGCTATGCGATACATTGATAATGTGTCGTTTATACAAGGTGATTTTGTTTGGGATATATCAAGATCATTCTGACCTTGGACTATCTGTGTGAAGCATTGATGTATGATTCTTGTGGATAGTGTTTTTGATCCTATCTTGTTGGAAATATTCTACCTGATTCTAAGATCCTACTTACAGTTGGATTTCGGTTAACTGATTTTGTTCTATAGTACTTGGCAACTGAAGCAGAACAGGCAGGCCGCAGGTAAAGGAGACTTCAGAACATTACATCAGGTAAACCGGTCTCTTTCCGGGAAGAGATCAATCCAGATGATGAAACCAATAAAAGATGTTCGATGGAACCTGATCACCAAGGAGGAGAAACAAATCAAACAGTGGGCTGATCACTTTAAAGCACTCTTGAATCGACCATCAACTGCAACTCGCCCACAAATACCACTACCACTACCAGCAGCACGTACAGAAGTGCCTGCCAGTGGACTCCAACCCTCCAACGAAAGCGGAAATCATTAATGCAATCAAGCTACTAAAACCCTAGAAGGCAGCAGGACCGAACGGAATTCCCCTACTCCGAAGTACTGAAGACGCACTCAGAGACTGTGGCGGATGTGCTCACGCCATTACTACGAAAGGTTTGCGAACAAGGAAGGGTAGAAGGAAAAGCTACCTTGTCAAGCAACCAAAGAAGGATGACTGACGTCTCACTCTGCAAGAACTGATGTGGAATAATGCTCTTGTCCACAAACACCAAGCAAAATACTAAGTCGCGTCATCCTGGACAGAAAAAAAGGTGCACTGCATACAGAACTCCGACCACCGGAACAAGCTGGATTCAGGAAAGGCGAATCATGTGCTGATCAAATTGAAAGTCTACGCTTCGTCTTCATCATCGAAGAAAGCATAGAATGACAGTCAGAGCTGTCTATACCTCAACTTCATCGACTTCAAAAAGGCCTTCGGCAGACAGCGTTGACCGAGAAGTAATTGGGATACTACTTCAACACTACGGCATTCAGTGCCCCAAATCTTTATTAATCTCATTCAACAACTAGCTATATGACAATGCTCGCCACGTGTCAAGTAATCCACAACGGGAAAATCAGCGAGGCGTTCGAAGTGAACATAGATGTTGTTGACTGTGGTAGACTGGGTTATACGTCAGACTGTGGGGAGTGAGGAATTAGAAGTACGCTGGACCACCGATAAGAAGACTCTAGGAGATCTGGATTTCGTGCGTCAATAACTCATGTTTGGTGTCACACAAAGTCGAAGACTTGCAGGCAGGCGAAAACCAACAAACTGGCAGAAGAAGCTGGCAGACAGCGAAGACAGGACTTCAGGTGAACATGGCGAAGATGGAGGTGATGAAGATTATCAACCAGCCAGCAGCGGAAACAACAACAACTAGCACCAATCACCATCAACGGGAGAGATTTGACAGAGGTTACCTCTTTCCTTTATCTGTCCAGAAAGCCTTGTTTCAACCACAGTTTCAACCGGATAGGATGAAGATGTCACAGTCAGAATCTCAAAAGCAAGATACGCCTTCATCAACCTGAAACCAGTTTGGAAATCTTCTGCTTCACTCAGTCAGGATGAAGAACAAGATTCGGATTCTATTCAACACCAATATCAAGTCAGTCAGTTAGTTCTTCAAGATAGGTGAGAAACTTGCACTACGCGTCACGAAAAGCATTTCCAACAGCCTGTTGCGCACATTTATCAACAGCTGCCCACTTAGCTGGTTCCATACTGAAGATCAAATGACCGGTCAGAAAGAATTAGCAACAAGAAAATCTAGCAACTAACCAAATATGTAGGAGAAAATGGAGGCGCATACGGCGCGCCAGGCCATAGATCGAGTGGAATCCAAATGGGAAGCGACGAGTGGGTCGTTACTGCGGGGGTGACATGGAGGAGTTCGTGTACCGAGGAGGGGAAGGAGGAGATGAGAGATTCTGTGTAATCGTATACCCAGATAAAGAGGACAGAGAAGAATAAAACAAAGTGGAGACGTGTTGTTGGAGCCCTATGTTCCCCTTGGAGTCCAAGGGAACAGTGATAATAATAATATAATATAATAACGGTACTATTGCTGAACAGAACCACATATAGATTTCTCGTTGAATAATCGTCATTTCGCTGCCTTTGGAGCATTCTGTAACTAACTGTGCATGTCTCAAAGAAATTTTCAGACAGCTATATATGCACAGTGTGAAGCATAGAGATCAGTTCCCCGAGTTCCGACCACACAACAAATCGGTTTTGGTCAGTAGGAAGTATAGAAACAATTTAATTTTTTTATTTGAATATATATTCTTGACTTATTTCTAACAAAATACAAAAGAAGTCACTTAAATTTTCCTAAAAACAGAACCTGATAGTTAGTAGTAGTAGCAGTAGGCAAATGAGAAAAAAATTATACAAAACTTTAAAAATCGATAAACAAACCGGTAAGAAATGGACATAAAAAGACCCCAAAAACACACATGAGACTACTTATCACAAGTTATTTAAGTAGTATTGGTAGTAATAATAGTAAAAGCTTATTAATACGAAAAGAAATAGCTCATAATAAATAGTAATAATAATAATAGTGATAAAATAACATGAATAATCCTAATTAAATTTTGAAAAAAAGTGTTGAGTTGAGTAGCTTTCAGTTGTAACACTAGTAACAAACACACCTCTACCTACTAGAAGTAACACAAAAAGCTCTATAAGAAAAAGTAATGCTGCAATCAACCATTTAACCTCTTCATCACCGCTGTTTTTTCAATAACAAAATCTATTTTTACAAAAAGAAAAAGATACGATAACAAGAAGAGACAGTTTATTTACAAATAGGAATTTTTAAAAAAGTTCTTTGAGTAAAAAAACACTACACACACACACTCTCTCTGTCTTGGAAACATGCTCAGAAATCGACATATGGGATAAGAAAAAGGAATTGAAATGCTTTTGCCTCCGACTACCCCACCGTCACCGAACCCGCCAAACTGTCTTTCACAGAGGTTGAACAGGTGACATAGAGAGTAAAATATCAACAAGTGAAATAAGTGAAAATTCAAAATCATTGGTGGTCGATAAACAATCGATATAGATGATTGATTGATTGGTTGGTTGATTGAACAAATGATTTCATTAAAAAAATGCCTGTCAAAAAGATCAAAATTGACTAACCTTCAACAAAAAAAGCGGTTTTGTAATATATGTAATATACAAATAATAATAATAACCTAGACGAAAGAAAGAGAAAAAAATAGCAAAATTGCTACTCCAACCAATGGAAGTATAAGAAGAACGAGACAAAACTTGAAATGCGCGCCACACACAAAAATGCTTCATTTAAACAAATACTACTAATAATAGTAACAGTAATAGTAGTAGTGTTAGGAATATTAACAAAAATTCACCAGTATCAATTAAAAATTCATCAAGAAACATGAGGAGAAGAAAAAGACGATAGAAAAATGCAGACACTCAGAAAAAAATATAGTCGATGTTGTTCAAGGAATCCCCACACCTATAAAATTAAAAGGAAAAATACAAAAGAAATTGTGAAAACCATGCGTGTTATAATAATGCTAATAATAACGACACCAATAAATAGAACACTGTGAAATAATAGAGAAGATTTGTAGCTCAGGTGGATGATTTGCAATTAGTAGTAGTGTTCTCTGAGCTGGTTGGTTTGGTTGCGGAACTTTCGTCGTCCCCCCTGCTGGACAACATTCCCTTTCAGCGCAATTTTTAGCATAAAGTGAAATGATTTAAATTTTCCATGAGTGATAGAATTGCGTCTCCTGATAACCATCTTTACATATGTATTGACCATTTTCTATTGACTTGGATTTTAAACTTTCTCGTCACATGATTTACTTTTTATTAGTTGGTATATTTCGTCTATATTAATGTGTTTGTTAATTGCATATTCGTTTGAGTACCGACAGGCTTCTAGGAATTCCCTGACTGCACCTTTGGTGTTTCCTCTGTCTAAGATTTTGACATTATCCCAATCAAATTGATGACCATAGTTGTCTGCATGCATTGATACTAAAGAATACATATCGTGTCTTTTTCACGGCTGATTTGTGTTCTTGGATTCTGATTCGAAGGGGACGCCCACTTTGGCAGATGTAATGCTTGTTACAGTTGCACATGGAAGAGGTGAAGCAGGGCAGTTTGTTTTGATAACTTTTAACCTTGAAATAATAGAGAAGATTTGTAGCCCATGTGTGGATGATTTGCAATTGGTAGTGTTCTCTGAGCTGGTTGGTTTAGTTGTGGAGCTTTCGAATCAGAATCCAGGAACACAAATCAGCTGTGAAAAGACATGATATATATATTCCTGTTTCATATCAATGCATATAGATAATTATGGACATCAGTTTGATTGGGATAATGTCGAAATTTTAGACAGAGGAAACACCAAAAGTGCGATCAGAGAATTCCTAGAAGCCTGGTCGGTACTCAAACGAATATGCGATTAACAAACATGTTAATATAGACCAAATCTACCAACTAATAAAAAGTAAATCACATGTGACGAGAAAGTTTAAAATCCAAGTCAATAGAAAATGATCAATACAGATGTAAAGATGGTTACCGGGAGACGCAATTCTATCACTCATGGAAAATTTGAATGATTTCATTTTGTGCTAAATATGGCGCTGACGATGTTGTCCAGAAGGACGACGAAAGCTCCGCAAATAGAACACTATATTGTCATTTTAGATCACAGGTCCCCACAACTCCCCATCAACTCCAGACTACTACCCATAGACATTTGTGGTTACAATGATAATAAAATAATAAAAATAACATGCTTCAATTATTTGTTTTTATGCCACTTTGACGTTCCCGTTGATTGACTGGATAGAACTGTTCAACTTCTGTTAACATGTCAGCTCCGACAATGTCTGAGGATTTAATTTGAAATGATTTCGTGGATTGTGGACTAGCAGTGGGATCTAGGAGGTCAGTTAAGATCGAAGATTTCGGTCTAATCAATCAGTATAGGAGCATCAAAAGTCACAAGGAGTGGATGCATCTGTGCCAGCCAATGAAAACGATCACTTTGAGTCATATCACTAATTGTCTCCAACCATTGGTTTTTACCGTCCCGCGGACCCCAACCAGTCAGTCAGGCAGTCTACACCTTCCTACGTAGCCGGCTTAAACTAACTGTTGTGGATTAGACATGTTAATACAGATCAAATTTATCAATCCAAAGGTTCAATGTAGCGGGTCAGCAAGATAATCAATGCCCAGGACACATAAACACTAATATAAACTAAATCTCTAGAAATGATAAGTAGTCACAGTCAACGTCATTTCACCAATCAACTTAAAGTCACTAAAGGAAAACTTGAGCTACCACGACTGTGGTGAGAGCTCGCTGCAAGCTAAAATTGTAGACAACAATTTACGTCAATGTTTACCTCTCGAATCAGGGTCATGAGAAAAAACAATGACAAAGTTTAACCTTGGGGAACTCAACAACCAATCACAGCAGAATTAACATGTGCAAATACGATTCGCGGATATATGGCTTAACTTTCTAAGAAACGGCCACAAATAGACAACAGAAGAGGTTGCTTCTCTGCTAACAATAACACCAATAATGATGTACATAAAATCTATAAATATCCGGGACCTTCCAGGTATAAGGCAAGCTCGTAAACCATTTAGCCACTGGGACATAACTTAATGACCTCTGTTAGTGGTCGCGCTAATTATATGACGAATTGGTAGAAGTTAGAATTCATGGGCTGGCTATTGAATCAGGTCTGAGTGGTTGAATGCTATACGAGTTTACCTTGTAACCGGAAGGTCTTGGGTTCGAACTACCCATGGTAGGTGGGTACTGCCGATGAGTTATAAACTAGGATGACGAAACAGCTGTTCAGTACTTCAGTGTTGGTTTTCAATGGTTCTCTAACAGATACTAATCCGTGGTGCAATCTGAAATTAACGTTTATTGGATAACTAAGATGGGAAATACATAAAAAGCTGACACATCAACCATGATTGTTAAGCTGGACACTATAATATCATCATCCATTGTCTGTACGATTAATGCAAATTCTAAATATCAACAATTCACCCCCCTTTTAATTTATCCGACTTTTATCTTTGATCATCTTCGTCATTTAAAGATAAACAATAATCTTTTAAACATCTTACAAGATGATAAGAATTCCTTTAATCTTTTTGCCGAATAAATACTATACTTACTACTGATATAAATGTCAAGGCAAAGACAGACAAAAAACATTGTGGATATAAAAGACAGAGAGAGAGAGAAGTCAACAACGTCTATGCAATAAACGTCTTGTTTAATTATGTCAGACATAACATTGTTGATATTATATATAGTGATATTATGGATTATAGAAAAGAAATATGATTGGTTTTAATGGTTAACACTACACATGTGTAGCGTGTACTACTGACAAGATTTGTCAGTAGTATGCAGATGCAGATCGATAGAGAGAGAGTGACCAAAAATAGAAATCAACATTTTAAGTCAATAGTGGCTTCTCAGAGGCAGAAGTGTTTATTCCTTCAAATCGAGATTTAGTTTACGTTGTGGTCAGGAAAAAATTTCATTGTTTAACACATGACCAATCATCAACCAATCAGAATAGTTTATGGTCATCTGACTTAGCTGAACTTTAATGTGTTTAAGAATCTATGAATATGATGTGCTATTTCTTAATAAAGGTTCGTTACTGGCTATCTTAACTTCTGACGTTACACACCCACGCAAACACTCGTGTTATTGTTGTTGCTTAACTTACTTTACCTGACAGTTTTATTGCCAGGCATATTGCTAACTCAGTGAAATATACTTATAGGGTTGAGTTAACTACAAATCTGAATATATATATATATACATAGGTGAACATCTGGACCAGATGGAATACCCCCGGAAGCACTGAAAGCGGACCCAGAGATGACAGCAAATATATGCTGACTCCATTACTGCAAAAGTTTTAGAAGAAGGGAAAGGTGCCTACTGACTGGAGGAAAGGTTACCTCGTCAAACTACCAAAGAAGGGCGACCTAGGACTCTGCAAGAACTGGCGAGGAATCATGCTCCTGTCGACGCCAAGTAAAATCCTGAGTCGCATCATCCTGGAGAGAATCAAGGACGCACTGGATACAGAACTCCGACCAGAACAAGCTGGATTCAGGAAAGGCAAATCATGTTCTGACCAAATTGCAACTCTACGCATCATAATCGAACAAAGCATGGAATGGCAATCAAATCTCTACCTCAACTTTATAGACTTTGAGAAGGCCTTCGACAGCGTTGACCGCGAAGTTATTTGGAAACTACTCAAGTACTACGGCGTACCCCAAATATTCATCAACCTTATTCAACAGCTGTACGACAACGGCACATGTCAAGTGATCCACAACGGAAAACTCAGCGAGGCGTTTGGAGTAAAAACAGGAGTCAGACAAGGGTGCTTATTATCACCAATGATATTACTAATTGTGGTGGACTGGATTATGCCTCAGACAGTGGGAAACGAGAAGACAGGGATATCCTGGACCAACGTGAAGAATCTAAAAGACCTGGATTTCGCGCGTGGATGATTTATGTTTGATGTCACACAAAATCGAAGACTTACAAGCGAAAACCGACAAACTAGTCGAAGAAGCAGGTGGCGAAGACAGGACTCCAGGTGAACATAGACAAGACTGAGGTTATGAAAATAACCAATCAACAACAACAGCAACATCCAGTGCCAATCACCATCAACGGGAGGGATTTGAAAGAGGTTACTTCATTCACTTATCTAGGGAGCATCGTCTCAACTACAGGCAGGTGGAACAGACGAGGATGTCAAATCGAGAATCGGGAAGGCGAGAAACACATTCATCAACCTGAAACCAATCTGGAAATCTTCGTCACTCAGCATTAACAACAAATTTGGATTTTCAATACAAACGTCAAGTCAGTCAGTTTTGCTATACGGATCAGAAACTTGGCCAGTGTGTCACATAGAATATTTCCAACAGCCTGTTGCAGACCTTTATCGACAACTGTCTTCGCTGGCTCTATACTGAAGATCAGATGGCCGGAAAGAATCACCAACAAGAAACTATGGGAAGAAACAAAACAATAACGAAACAATCGCCCAACAAATATGCAGGAGAAAGTGGAGATGGATTGAACATTCGCTGAGGAGGCCTCCATGTGACATCACGCGTCAGGCCATAGCTCGAGTTGAACCCGAATGGGAATCGGCGAGAGGGACGTCCAAGGGTGACATGGAGGAGATCGTGTGAAGAGGAGTTGAAACAGTATGGACTAACATGGATGCAAGTGAAAAGTACAGCAGAAGACAGAAGCAAGTGGAGACGTGTAGTAGAAGCCCTATATTCCACTAGGAACCCAAGGGAACAATAATAATAATACAATAGGTGAACATAGAGAAGACGGAGTGGAGGAAGATTACCAACCAAAATCAACAACAACAACCAGAACCAATCACCACCAACGGGAAAGATTCAACAGAGGTTGCCTCCTTCACTTATCTAGGAGACATTGTTTCACCTACAGGCGACAATCCAATGAAGATGTCAAAGCCAGACAGTGGGGATCGGAAAGGCATGATATGCCTTCATCAACCTGAAACTAGTTTGAAAATCTTCTGCACTCAGCCTCAGCATAAAGGACAAGATTCGAATTCTGTTCAACACAAATGTTAAGTTATTCAGTCAGTCAGTCAGTTCTTCTATATGGGTGAGAAACTTGCACTGCACACGCACACACCACGTAATGCATTCCCAACAAGTTACAGACATTTATCCACTGACTGGCTCCATACTGAAGATCCAATGGCCAGCCAACCAGAATGAATAAGTAACAAGAAACTCTGGCTGACGACGAACCAACCAAGCGCCTATTGCCCAACATATCTGTAAGAGGAAGTGGAGATGGACGATGTATACATTGAGGAGACCGTCGAATGACATCGCGCGCAATGCAGGCCCATAGCTCGAGTAGAATCCCAATGAGAGGCGATGAGTGGGTTGACATGGAGGAGATTGTGTGACGAGGAGGGGAAGAAGGGGATCAGGGATTATGGTAAATCATGGAGCCAGCTGAAGAGGACAACAGAAGATAGGACAAAGTGGAGATGTGTTCTTGAAGCCCTCCCTATGTTCCACTCGGAACTCAAAGGAATAATAATAATCTTGATTACTACTTATGATGCCAAACAGACTGATCACACGAAATCAATTGATGGGATGGTGACTAACAGTGGAATTCAGTCAGGATGCGCATTTCCTCCTATGTGGGACTCGCCAGCTGGATATATCTGCATTACCCAGTGAATCAGGGATGGTGTTCCCACCGAGGCTCGAACCCAGTGCTCATAGTTTCAAACTCCAAAGTATTACCCACTGAACTACTTGGGCCACGAGAGCCACATCTTGTGCAACAGGTCTTATTAATTATTTAATTCAGCTTTAGATTTTTCCGTGGACTGATTGGACCGAAGTGCTCCTCGGTCTCAGGTTGACATATCAGCCCCTTGAACAGATGCTTCAACGATCTCTGGTCATATAACTTGAAGTCAGTTGGTAGGTGGTGGTGGGTTTGGGCCTCGGGGAGAACATCATCACTCACTCACTGGGGAATGCAGGCACATTCAGTTAGCTGACGAGTCCCAAATACGACGAAATTTGTATACTGGATTCCACCGCTAGTCACCATCCACCAATTGACTTCAAGTTGCATGACCAGATATCGTTGTTGAAGCATCTGCACAAGCTCTTCGGTCCAATCAGTCAACGGGAAAATCTAAAATTAAATTAAATAACACCATGTTACTTTGTTTGATGATGAATATCAATGGAATCTATGACATGAGTTTCGTTCTACTTCAAATCCGTCAGCTGAATGTGTATCTGCATCCTCCTCAGTGATTGATAGAATTCCCACTGAGACACAGTGGAACTCAGTGTAATGGGTAAATTTGATGGGGTGAAATATTCCCATATCATGAATTAAAAGTCAATCTGAACGAAGAATATTCACTTCAATAATTTCTCCTCTTCAGGTTCTTACAATTATAAAACAATTATAATATTTGTTGTCGTCCTTCTGTAGCCGTCTAATGTTCACCCAGAAACTCAAAGATGTCTTACCTAACCTTAGCTCTTCTTCATGCACATACCATTTCACCTGTTTCTGTGGTTCAAGTTGTGTAGGGCGCACGATTAGGCATGTTGGTATACGCGTTTGAGAACATTTACCAGCTTGGTTCAGCAGGGGGGAATTACGTGTATAAAAAGCTCCATTCTGTCACACTTGGTCGATACTGGACGACATCGCATTGATGTCGACACAGCTTTCAGGGTTATATACAGAATTCGAAAGTCGTTATCACGTACAGTTTGCTTACCTCTCCTACACATAGCTGAAGCTGTTGCAATAAGATCGACTACACCGGAACTTTGTATCCAAAAAGAACACGTCCAGACGCTGTTCCTGTCGTGACCAAACTTGGATTGATGATTCTTCTTCTCACCAAGAGTGCTTCTCCCCTTAACCCTCTTCGTTTCTTTTCTCTTCGATTATTATCACAATTATTATTACTATTCGTTATAGTTGATGCCTTTCATGCAAACATTCTCTCAATACTATCGAATTTTCCATTTATACTATCCGGACTTATTATTAGTGATATTATCTTTTTTCTCAGTATATGCCCCAACCTGTTTCTTCATTTCACACATTCGTTATTTCATTATGAACCAACTCTCACTGCAGTCTTACTATCTCCTCCTCTTTAATACATACCACCTTGTACTAGCCACTCCACTCACTCACCTGACACCTTTTATAACCTTGAACTGACTTGTCAATTTTCCTACCCCACACTCTACAAATCTATTATGACGACTAATCACCACGACATTGTCTCCCATTTCACCCAAATATTTTGTAATCGACTTCAGCCTACCACGACGTTTGTCACACAAATACGACTATTTATTTTGACATCCCGTAACTAGTAATCTGTTATTCTACGTTTAAAAAAATGTATCCTCCGCATAACTGGCCTTTATTGTAACGACAACAAATATTATAACTGTTTCATAATTGTAAGAACCTGAAGAGAAGGATACATTGAAAAGAATATTCTTCCTTCAGATTGACTTTTAATGGGTAAATTGTTTGGTAAATCCCTCCGGAACGAACTTTCTGTAATATTTATTTATACTTTGTCATTTTTATACGTTTTTCCCCTAGACTGTGTATCATCAATTTGACATTTGCATATATCATGCGTTGATTTTGACTTCCATATTTGGTAAGTTTGTAATGACAGAAGACAAGGGTCAGGAAACAGATCGTTTATTAAGAAAATCAAGAGGTATTTATAGATTTTTATGTACATTATTATTAGCGTTATTGTTAGCGGGAAGCAACGTCTTCTGATTGGTTGTTTTCTTGCTAAAGATTATGCTGTATCGCTTGTGACTGTTCCTTAGAAAGTTAAGCCATATGCCTGCCAATCGTATTTACATACGTTAATTCTGCTGTGATTGGTTGATGAGTCCCTTAAGGCTAAGTTTTGTTCTTGTGTTTTTTTCTCATGACCCCGATTCGCGACGTAAACATTGACGTCAATTGTTGTCTACAATTTTGGCTTTTTCGCAGCCAGCTGTCACCACAAGTTTATTTTAAATATCAAACAGTGTGATGCACCCCGCTAGGACTAGTGTGAAACAGCTGGCTGTCCAAGTACTCTCCCTTTTAATGGTTTTCTAATGGTGTTGTTCTCTAACCGCTGATGACAGCTCATCATCGTCATGAAATCCTCTAACTCAATGGTCTACGAGCTCGCCTTGTAACCGGAAGGTCCTGGCTTCGAATCCCGGTGGGCGCGTACTGATGAAGAGTCCCAAACTAGGACGAAACAGCTGTCCAGTACTCCCGGGTTTTCCAGTGGTTCTCTAACTGATGTCAGCTCATGATGAAATCCTCCATGCAATTAAACAAAATCCCTACCAAACCAATACTTGAAAATTATCAGTAAAACTTTGAAAAAAATGAGAACAAAATTAAATTAAAAAGACAAAACAAAACCTTAGCTGTCTTACACACTTACACATCACTGTGTTTATTATCTAATCAATTAGCTTTGACTTGCTTGGCAATTTGAATACTCCTCTCCTAGGAAATGTTGAACATTTTTGGGATGAAATTCGATGCGTACCTCTATGTTTGTGTGTGTGGGTGTGGTGGTGTGTAGATTGTATCATCAGCAAAATGAATTTTGTTTAATCAAGTGAAATAGCCACCGGTGTACGTGAACGATATTTTCTATGAAAACTGAGACCAGGTAAAGTTGGTCGTCGAAATTTTTGTCGTCTAGTCAATAGGACAGTATCATCAACATGTTGATTGGATTCTTGTTGTTGTTGGTGGTGGTGTTGAGGCTGGTGTTGTTGCTGATGATGATCCGAAAGTTGACGAATACATTTTGAATTCTCATCAGATGGTGAAGTAATCGGCATTTGTTGATGACGTTCACATTTGCCTACCATCATTATCATATCCTCTTGAGGTTGTTTTCGCTGATATTCTTCTTTGCTTTCTTGAAGTACTTCATGAAGTCGAATGAATTTTTTATGATTTAATGAAGGACTATTTTTATTAGATTGGAATGTTTTTAAAAAACGCTGATAACTAAATGTTGATGTTGACGATGATTTTGTATTTGATTTTGTCGTGTTCATCTGAGATTTTAATGTTTTATCACGATTTTTACTTGTATTCAATGCAGTGATAGCCTTTAGAGATGGTGATGATGAAGGCAACGATTGTAATGGTACTGGTTCTTTTTGTTTCTGTACAGGTTGAGATTGAGCGGCTGGTGGTGGTGGCGGCGGTGGTGGTTGCGGTTGTTGCGTCTTCTCTTCATCTATCGATGAAGTCACCACTTGTTGACTAATAAGATCAGCAAATATCTTAAAGGTTAATAATTGATTAGCTGTTGGACGATCGATTGGATTACGAGCAAAACATGCATCTAGAACTGATATAAGCCCGGTGGACAAACCTTCAGGATATGTTGGTGGTGAATTTGATGTAGCGATCTAAAAAGAGAAAGTGGTAAGTAGGGGGGAGACAATCAGTTGCATAGATGGATCGACTGATAACTGTGTGTGTATATGTTATTTTTCTGTTTGATATCAATTAAAGAACCCATTGAAAACCTAGGAGTATTGCACAACTGTTTCGTCCTTGTTTAGGACTCCTCATCGGTACGAAACAACTGTCCAGTACTCATTCGCTTTCAGTGCTTTTCTAGCTAATATCAATCCATGATGTAATTAAATCCTTGCAAACGAAAACTTGTAAAGTGGGCATATGAATGAAAAAAATTATTTAGAATGAATGAACTAGAATGCGTCCATTATCTTCGTGAACCTACAATAAGCAGACGATATAGTCATTCTAGGCGAGGACGCTGACAAAATGCAGAGTCTTCTGAACACCTTGAGCTCAGAAGCAATCTGCGAATGTTTGGCATGTGATTCACTCCCGCCAAATGCAAGATGATGTTACAGGATTGGACTACACTGACTCCTAGTTTAGAAATAGGGAGTGAAGTGGTAGAGCACGTTGATCGCTTCATTTATTTGGAAAGTACCATCAGCCTCAACGCGTTGATCTCTGACAAAATCTCAGCACGGATACAGAAGGCTAGTTTCGCATATGCCAGTTTACGCCGTCTCTGGCGTAGACGTGATATCCGACTATTGACCAAAGGGCGTGTGTACTGCTCAACAGTCTACTCCGTCCTTCTTTATGGCTGTGAGACCTGGCCATTGAGAGTGGAAGACATGGAAAGATTATCTGTGTTCGATCATAGGTGTCTGCGTTCTGTCTCCCGTGTGAAGTGGTATAATAAGGTGAGCAATATTGAGGTTAGGCGTCGAGTGCTAGGTGAGGAGGGGAAATCAATCGACATGGCTGTGAAGCTACACTGACTGAGATGGTTAGGACATGTGTTACGTATGCCCAGCCTAGTCATCGCCTTCCTCGACAGTGGGCAATGTTAGCTGATATAGGGTCAGGCTGGAAAAGAGCTAGCGGCGGTCAAACCAAAACATGGCACCAGTCAATGAAATCTACAACAGTTAGTTCAAGCTGGTCACGTAGGAAGGTGTAGACTTCCTGACTTGTTGGGGTCCTCGGGACGGTAAACACCAATAAAGGCTGGAGACAATTGGTGATATGGCTCAAAATCGTTCTCAGTGGCGCAGATGCATCCACTCCTTGTGACTTATGATTTCCGATGAAACTGTTTTGTTCTTCGTTATTACTATTCCTTTGTCTCACACCTCTGTTTACTGTCTCTAATATGCATTTCTCCTACTTTCTTCTCTTGCTTTGTGTGCTACATGGATTGTGGCGACTTGAACTGGCGCACATATGTGCACATTTCTATGTCGAAAACAGACAAACAGACAGATCCTGAGTCTCACTGACTGGTTTCAACATAGGACTATGCATGGATATGCAAAGAAGAGAGTAAAGAGAGATTCAGCAAAAGAGAGATAATAAACACTAGTGTGAGTAAGGCAAAAAGAACAGTTATGTGGAGGAATAACAACAATAGAGTTTTATTGAATATGACTGACAAGTCACAAAGAGTGAATGCATCTGCACCAGCCATTGACAACAATGATTTCGAGCCATATCACCAATTATCTCCAGCCTTCATTGGTTCTGACCACCATCCCAAGGACCCCAACCAGTCAGACAGTTAGTCAGTCTACAACCCTCTACGTCACTGGCTGGCTGGTTGGCTGGCTTAAACTAACTGTCATGGATTTAATTGATTGATGAAGCCATCTTTTGGTCTGACGACCACTAGCTCTTTTCCAACCTGATCTTATGTCAGTCAGCTAACACTGCCTGTTTCCAAGGAATTCGATGGCTGGTCATGTGTAACACATTTCCTAACCATCTCAATAGATACAGCTGATTTACAACCTTGTCGATTGATTTCCTCTCGTTACCTAGCACTCGACCGAAGCCTGTGACCTCACCATTACTCTCCCTATTACATCTACCATCTAACATGGGAGATAGAACGCAGACAGCTATAATCAGAGACAGCCAGCTAACCAGGCTTTTCATATCTTCCACTTCCAATAGTCATATTTGACAGCGAGTCATAAAGAAGGACAGAGGGGGACTGTTGTGCATCACACACGTCCTTTGACCGATAGCCAGTCAGCCGGATATCACGTCTACTAAGCCCGAAACGGCGTAAGTTGGCAGGCGAATGCTAAAACAAGCCTTCTGTATCAATGCTGAGATTGCGTCAGCGATCAACCCGTTGACGCTGGCTGATACAACTTCCAAAATAAGTGAAGTGGTCAACACACTCCACCAACCACTTCACCCCCTTTAAGCTAGGAGTGAGTCGATGTAGTCCAGTCTAGTCCAGTCCAGGAGTCTCATAATGTTATATTTGACAGAAGCGGGTGAATGGCATGTGTTCAGAAGACTCTACTCTACTCTGTCATAGCCTTCACCTAGAAGGGCGGACTATATCATCCGAATATTCTAAATCAACGAGATTATCATCTGGTAACAAGTCAGTTACTCCCTGAGTTATGGTTATTTCCACTAGTACATCTATGATGAAATTAAACAGAAATAGGGATAGACAGTGGACATCTCTGACGGACGCCACTGGTTGTAATCACTCCCAATGACGACTCTTCGTAACCACACATTTGGCTGCTTGACTTTGGGTAGAATGCCTTGACCATTGTGATGTATTTTCTCGACATTCTCTTCACAACTAAACATTACCATAGTACCTCTCAGTCGACGGAATCAAATGCCGCTTTCAGGTCAAGAAATATAACGATTGTTGCACACCGACGGTAAGTATGCCCAGCGTACTATTGTAAATCAGGAATCCTTGGCATCCACGACTTTATGTCAGAGAAGAGCTAAAGAATGATGCCTAATAAGGCGAGTTCGTCACCACTTAATTAGTGGGGCTTCAGATCTTTGATTTCTAAATTCTGACTATTTTCGGTGCGATAATATAATTGGTAGACGCTCAATGAAAATGTTTACCAATCCTGTTGTGAACAAGGTAAATACGGAGACATTGGATGCACCTCGAGGAAGGCGGCAAGTCTCCTTCTTTGCATTTTCCTGTCATGGCTCTTGTTTTCGTTTAATTAACGATGATGTTAGGAGTCTAACTCTAGGGTAGTCTAAGAGGAGTTTTTAGACAAAAAATAGAATCGGAATTTCCTTAGCTCCAGACTAAACAAGAAATAGAAATGAGATCCTTTCAAAAGAGAGTTGGGCCTGTTAAACCTGCTTAATGATGATGATGTTGATGATGGAATGCATGACCCTGTGACTCAGACAGTGCCGCCTTTGCTGTCTACTTCAAATTTACGAATAAAAGTCTCTAAGGAGATGCACATCGTTTATTGCGTATCCAGTTCATGTTCAGTTGAATAACTACAGGTACAAAGCATTGAAAGCGTTTCAAATGCCACCGGAAAGGTTAATCCTTATTTAAGGTAGAAAGATTGTTAAGAATAAAGACACTTTATAACAGCTCAAGATTAACGATGGCTTTATTATTCATTTGGAGATTTTCGGAGCAACAATAACCCCCATGGGTGAAACAAACGTGTACTTCAGTAGTTAGAAGTGTTACAGAAACCTGGAGTACGGGTGGAACTCAAAGCCCTGGAGTAAATACTTTTACTGGTATGTATCAGGCTATGTAGGCAAAAGTAATATAGAAGCCTAAACTTCGAAATATGCTAGATTGCCCGGAGAAAGAAAATGATTCCAAACTTCAAGGGTAATCTTGACAGTCTGCGCAAAGTGTTCCCAACCTGTATTGATTTTCAACATGATTATCGGAAGTCAGACAGGTGGCGGTCGTCTCAAAGCCTAAATTCTCTGGTGGGTGAACCAGAACTTAATACAGTTCTGATTTTAGACTTACAAACCTACATAAATGACTCGGAAATCAAAGCACCGCAGCTACTCATTGTCTTTATACTCACTCGCTCCGATGGAGTCAGTTATATCTGCGGCTGACCGGTTGCAATTTCGTTTGAATGAAGTCAAGGTTACGATGTGGAGTGATTACTTAACCTTCGACTTATCTGCAGGAAACGTGTTTTGCTCTGTTTATAACTCTAGCAGACAGAGTTGGGAATATCCTTTGTAATAATTCTAAGGTATTTTTGTCGAAAAAACCTCATGAAACAGAATAAACGAGCGCAGACACACGCACACACACACACACACACACGAGTGCACTTACAGTATACATTAGGGCGTAACGATTCGTTAGTCTAGCATCATGCCATGGAGGTTTACTTGTCAACATTTCTATTAGACAACATCCAACCGACCAGATATCACAAGCTCTACCGTAGGTTTCACCACGAAGTACCTTTAGAAAAAAAAAGCAGAAAAAAGTGTTTAATATTATTATTATCATATCACATTTGATGAAGTCAAAATATAAACAGAGTTTATTATCAAGCTTTACAACCGTATGTATATATGGTCTTTATAAAAATTATATCCGGTGAGGGAATTAGGTCAAAGGTGTGAATACATGAAGTAATAATAGTAGTAGTATGAAATGCAATTAAAGTATTTGCAATTATAATCATAGTTTAATGTGAGGTAGCAAAACAAGTAATGTCATATATAGAATATTTTCAAGTATTGGTTTTGTAGGGATTTTGTTTGATTGCATGGAAGATTTCATCATGAGCTGACCATTAGATCGGGTCCACGTGGCTCAATGGTCTACGAGCTCGCCTTGTAACCAGAAGGTCCTGGGTTCGAATCCCGGTGGGCGCGTTCTGATGAAGAGTCCCAAGTTAGGACGAAACAGCTGTCCAGTACTCCCAGGTTTTCCAGTGGTTCTCTAACTGATGTCGGCTCATGATGAAATCCTCCATGCAATATATAGAATAATACATAACGTGTATAGAATTTTAGAAAGGGGTACATAATTATAAGATTATTAGACGAATATAAAATGTTACATGACATGGTGTGAAATTTGATAAGATAGAATTCAATATTGTAAAAATAAAAATTAGTAATTTTGGGTTTAAAATGTCAAGTGGGTCAGGTGAAAAAGATTCAGAGTGAGAATAGTAATAGTAATAATGATAATGATAATAATAATAATAACAATGATAATAATAATAATCGTAGTAATAAGGGAAAGGTACATAGAATAACTAAATAAACAAAATAAATAAATAAATAGACGTCTATCCCTCTACGGCCATTGCAAAAATAGAGTTTGTGCATAAAGGTCTGGCTTAAATTCATGAATGGCCAAAGCCTCCAATGTCTGTCGATGTTTATAGCTAAGAAAATGCGACAAGTTAGCGTGAATTCGATAGATGATCTTAAAATCATCGTCAGGCTTGGTGGAGTGGAGTCCATGCCGTAGCCATTGGGTTGGTTCCCAGTGGCTCAATGGTATACGACCTCGCCTTGTAACCAGAAGGTCCTGTATTCGAACCCCAGTGGGTACGTACTGTTGAAGAGACCCAAAGTAGGAGGAAACAGCTGTCTAGTACTCCCAGGTTTTCCAGTGGTTCTCTAACTGATGTTAGGTCATGATGAAATCCTCCATCCAGTCAAACAAAATCCCTACAAAACCAATACTTGAAAATTCCCATTGTAGCATTAAGAACACAATATTCAGTGAAGAGACTCTTTTCAACAACGAATTTATTATCAAGCTGTACAATCGTATATATATGTTTTTTAAGAAATTATATCCGATGAGGGAATTGGATCAAAGGTGTGAATACATGAAATAATAATAATAGTAGTATGAAGTGCAATTAAAATATTTGTGATTATATAATCATAGTTAAATGTCAAGTAACAAAACAATTAATGTCATATATGGAATAATACATAAGGTGTATAGATGTTGGTGGGAGGAGGTGCATAATTATAGGATTAGTAGGCGAATATTAAACGTTACATAACATGGTATGAAATTTGATTAGATAGAATTCAATATTGTAAAAATAAAAAATAAAAATTTTGGGTTTAGAATGACAAATGGAAGCAATTCAGAGTGAAAGCAGCAAAATTACATATGACGTTTACCAGCCGCAAGTTGTTCTCTACCTCTGTAAAACACAGGCTCCCCCCGTCTGGCCACCTCCATGTGCATCTATCAGTTCACCCGCTCCTCTTGTGGAGCAAGGCACATTGGCCGAAGCCAGAAGACGCTTTCTACACGGATACGACAACATATTCAAGCAGTATGATTTTACAAGGGGAAAGGAAGTGTGTGTGAAGCTCTATTCTGGAACACCTGATCAACTCTGACCATGATTTTAAGATCATACATAGAATCCATGCTAACTTCCCGTGTTTTCTTCGTCACAGACTTCTAAAGGCAGCGGAGGCCTTGGCAATTCATGACCTAAAGCCAGCCAGCCCTTTGTGTACAAAAAAAGGATGTACGATTCCTACTTCTGCCTTGGACGTAGAGGGATAGACATTTATGTATTTTGTTTATTTAGTTATTCTATGTACCTTTCCCTTATTACTACGATTATTATTATTATCATTATTATTATTATTATTCTCACTCTGAATCTTTTCCACTTGACCCACTTGTCATTCTAAATCCAAAATTATTATTTTTTATTTTTACAATATTGAATTCTATCTTATCAAATTTCACACCATGTCATGTAACATTTTATATTCGCCTACTAATCATATAATTATGCACCCCTCCCTGCGTCGGTGGTATAGCAGTTAGGACGCTCGCCGGACACCGACTCACTCCTTTACCTCGCTAAACCAGAAATAAAAGCAGGTAAAGAGGAAAGATTGGGCCAGTTGAGGCTAGAGCAACCCCATCCTGTAAAAAAATAAACACTGCTACAGAAACTTCAGGCCTCTAGCTTGAAGGTGGCCTATGTCCCACTGGGAACATGAAGGAATAAAAAAATATCTACACAAAATGTAGACATTATGGTAATATGTCGAAACTGTATGACTCTCATTGTGTAGGTAGACAAATAACTATACACTTGGAATTTAACGCGCCCAGTCATCCAGTCTGCCATAGTCAGCACCATACCGCAGTACAGGTAGACTATAATATATCAAATTACCACTCCGTTGGTATCGGAAGGAAGTCCGTATTCAATATAAACGGTTCTCTCTGTCCAAGGACAGGGGAGTTCTCCCAAAATAAATGAGTATCTATGCCACGCTATTTCTTACACATTAGGAGCCAAACTTGTGTGGTTATAATTAATGATATGATAATGAAAAACCGATTGTGTTCGGAACTTCGTCCTCCAATAAATAGCCATACTGTTTCACACTGTGTGTGATGACATATCTAATAAATAAATCAATATGGGATTCAATATAGAAAAAATCCCCATTTAGACATTTAGAAAACACAAAAGATTGAGCGAAGAAATATTTACTTTTCAATTAGATCCTCATCTTACTCTGGCTCTACTCTAATATATTCTGTATAGCATTTTTATTACAATACATAACAGTTTACCAAACAAGTGGCACTGATATGTTTGTTAACAATAATTAGTCAGTGTCAACATGTCAACGGGTTGATAATTAACGAAGAAAATCAATACGCACACAATTAAAAGGTAGAAATGGACAGAATAAATTAATTTTACAAGGATAACACGTAATTAAAGATGAAGTGGTCAGAAAAATAATGAAATAATTTGGACAATTATAATTTTTATAAATGTTTAGGGGGAGGGGGGCGAAGTAGTCCGGTTTATACAGTCATGTAACGATAGCCAAGGTAAGGAAAATGGCTCTACAAATTTCTTCTGAACACACACAGGCTTAGCTTCTTCTGGTGGATTCCGATTGCTTCAGCTGTCTGTAGAAGACGAACTCTTAGAGCAAAGTTAAGATTAGTGGGAATGCGATAAATAATTTTAAATGCAGTATTCACATCAACCTTATGCTCACTATCTACAAGGTGTGTTAAAATAGAACTACGAATAGATCTTGTTTGTCCCTTGCTTAACCATGTTGGATGATGTTTTTTGACCACTTCATCTTTAATTACGTGTTATCCTTGTAAAATTAATTTATTCTGTCCATTTCTACCTTTTAATTGTGTGCGTATTGATTTTCTTCGTTAATTATCAACCCATTGACATTTTGACACTGACTAATTATTGTTAACAAACATGTCAGTGCCAATTGTTTGGTAAACTGTTGTGTATTGTAATAAAAATGCTATACACTATATATTAGAGTAGAGCCAGAATGAGATGAGGATCTAATTGAAAAGTAAATATTTCTTCGCTCGATCTCTCTGTTTTCTAATATGGAATTACCTATTATCACAGTGGCGACGTTTTACCCATATATATATTAATTCAACTAGTCTGATTGGTTACTCTATGCGTATCAACGAAAGGCAGGGGTATTTTTCGAGAGAGAAAAAACTATTACGTAATAGAAAATGATCATCCACTACTCACTTCTGGTGCCATAAATGAAAATGTACCGATAACTTGTCCTTGAAATTGACCAGCAACACTTTGTTCACCGCTTAGACGTGCTGAAGCACCAAAATCCGATATCTTAATTACAGCTCCAGTACTGTCGATTAACAGATTGGCACCTAAATAATAATAATAATATTATCCAAAATAGAGAACAAAAAATAAAACACATTGAAACATTCACAAGTTTGTAGATAGAAAATCTTAAATAATGCATACTGGTTCAGTGGAATTTAAGCAAGTTTTAATAAAATGTGAGTCAGGAAAAGCTCTCAGCAATCTCTGAATCAGTAAGTTAGTTAATCATCATCATGATCATCGTGCTTCGGTGGCACAGCAGTTGTCTGTCTGTCTGTTTTCGGCATAGTACTTTGCACTTATGTGCGCCAGTTCAAGTCGCCACACTCCACTCCATGTACCACACAAAGCAAGAGAAGAAAGTAGGAGAAATGCATATTACAGACAGTAAACAGAGGTGTGAGACAAAGGAATAGTAATAACGAAGAACGAAACAATTTCATTGGAAATCATAAGTCACAAGGAGTGGATGCATCTGCGCCAGCCATTGAGAACGATCACTTTGAGCCATGTCACCAATTGTTTCCAACCATTGGTTTTTACTGTCCCGAGGACCCCAACCAGGAAGCCAGTCTATACCTTCCTGAGTGGCTTAGACTAACTGTTGTAGATTTCATTGACTGGCGCCATATTTTGGTTTGACTGCCGCTAGCTCTTTTCCAGCCTGACCGTATATCAGCTAACATTGCCCATTGTCGAGGAAGGCGACGACTAGCCATACGTAACACATGTCCTAACCATCTCAATCGATGTAATTTCACAGTCTCGTCGACTGATTTCCCCTCTCACCTACCCAGCACTCGACCGAAGCCTAACCTCAATATTGCTCACCTTATTATACCACTTCACGCGGGAGATAGAACGCAGACACCTATGATCAAAGATAGCCAATCTTTTCATGTCTTCCACTCTCAATGGCCAGGTCTCACAGCCATAAAGGAGGACGGAGCAAACTGCTGAGTAGTGCATCCACCCTTTGGTCGATAGCCAGATATCACGTCTACGCCAGAGGCAGCGTAAACTGGCATATGCGAAACGAGCCTTCTGTATCCGTGATGAGATTTTGTCAGAGATCAACCCGTTGGGGCTGATGGTACTTCCCAAGTAAGTGAAGCGGTCAACGTGCTCTACCACTTCAGTTCCTATTTCTAATCTAGGGGTCGGTGTAGTCCAGGGGGCGAATCGCATGCCAAACATTCGTAGATTGCAGCTCAAGGTGTTCAGAAGACTCTGCATTTTGTCAGCGTCCTCGCCTAGAAGGACTATATCGTCTGCATATTCTAAGTCGACGAGATTATTCACTGGTAGCAAGTCAATCCCTGAGTCGCTGAAGTGTGTTAGGGTTAAGTCCATTAGTACGTCTATGATGAAGTTGAATAGGAATGGGGATAATGGGCATCCTTGACGGACGCCACTAGTCGTCACCACTTCAGATGACAACTCGCCATAAGCCCTCACCTGGCTGCATGAGTACGAGTAGAGTGCCTTAATCAGTGCAATGTATTTTCTCGGCATTCCCTTTACAGCCAAGCATAGCCAGAGAACCTCTCGGTCGACAGAATCGAATCCCGCCTTTAGGTCAAGAAATATAGTGATTGTTGGACACCGGTAGGAATGCCTATGTTCTAGAATCTGTCGAAGGGTGAGGATATGATCAATATACCCTCCTCCTGGCCTAAAACCTGCCTGGTTTTCTCGTGTTTGTGCCTCCCGAGCACCACTTAGTCTACGCAGTTAAGGACACTCGTCGACCATGCACATGGTCTGGGATTCGATCTCTCTGCCGACACACAACTCATATCAATGGCCGGCCTGTTAAATTTGGCCTACCGATATCACATGCTGAAAATTCCATATTTGTACCAAAAATACTGTGTGGAATCAAGCTTTAATAAAAAATAAATCAATCATCGAAACGTCATAATCAAACACCTTAGCTATGTTTAACACCACAAAGATAATATTTTAAATTTGAATTAGGCATTTAGAAGGCAAACTTCACGAGATGATATCATCATTTCATGGTCTCTCTACAATCGCTTTAACAACTAACATGGTTGGTTCAAAATAATAAAATTTTCATTTCACCAGTTTTGTTCCTATCCAGTATAAACGTTCCCTAGTGAAATGTTTGTTCTCAAGGGCCCGAAAAATATGCACAGGTGACACACTCATGGATGAGTTTCGAAATATACATTCAGTTTTATTAGCTAATGGTTATCCGGAGAACTTTATCACTTGTCACAGTAAAGAAAAACCACATCTCGAAAAGGCAGCTTCTGCACCAAAGAAAGCTATCTTCATTAACCTACCATTCAAGGGTGACCCGATTATGCAATTGACAGATAACTCAAAGAGTTCGGTCAGCCATCAAACGCACATTCTACGCTGTCGCATCTCTTTTTCTCACATCTCGAACATTTTCGATCGCACTGTATCTACGATGAAAGGACGAAATCCTATGGACTCTACTTCAAACTGTATCTACAAGTTCACCTGCAGTTGCGGTGGCACACATACTTATATAGGTAGAACCAATAGAATGTTCCAATGTCGTCGTCAAAAAGAACATGTTCCAAAATGGTTATTGAAAAATATAGAAAATCCCAATGCCAGTAATCTGAATAGAAATCCAGCATCATCATCCATTGCAAAGCACTTATTAATGTCAGGTCACAAAATCAATCAATATTAATGACTGTTTCACAATTATTTCATCACATAACTCTAATTCAAGGTTGGTTATTGAAGGTGACGGAAGCACTTCGGGTTAATCAAATACATCCGTAAATATTACTGTATAACACTGTGAGACTTCATTAAAATAAATTTTACTCACAATGGAATTATACCCTACCACAGTGCACAAGTTCTATTCTAGTATCAAAAACTTCAACCTTCGACTACCATGGAAAACTTGACCTATTTAAGTATGCATGACTAGACATCGTCATTAAAGCATCTGCACATGTCAACCTGAGACCGAGGAACACTTCGGTTCAATCAATAAACAGGAAAATCTAAACTGAATTAAATAATTAATAAGACCCGTGGCACAAGAGGTGGCTCTTGTGGCGCAAGTGGTCCATTAGATAACGCTTTGCCGTTTGAAACTATGGACATTGAGTTTGAACCACCGCGAGAACACCACCACTAACTCACTGGGGGATTGCAGGTACATTTAGCCAGTTGATGAGTCCCAAATAGGACGAAATGCGCACCCCCACTGGATTCCACTGCTAGTCATTATCCCATCAATTGACTTCGTGTGATCAATCTGTTTGATATCAAAAATGACAATCAAGACAGTAAGCATAAATATGCATAATGTTATATATTACTGATTGACTAATATAAGTGGTTAATTAGTGCTCACTTCACTCAAAAGTTCTGCTTGCCAGACAACCAGACAGAAGTGATCTAAACACCGACATCAGCATAATGAAAGAAAATTTAAACGATAATTAAGTAAATAAATAAATAAATCGATGACTCATTTCAATAACTAACATTACCTTTTAAATCTCTATGTAATATTCCATGTTTATGTAGATAAGCAAGACCACGTATCAACTGTATACCATAATTTAATGTAATTGACTCATTAAATGCACCATATTGCTGCAACAAGCTGGTTATACTTCCACCCGGCATCCATTCAATAAACAGATCAACAAAACCACGTTTAACACAATGAACAGCCCCGAATAACCTGAGAACATTTGGATGATCTAATTGTAGCATAATGCGTACTTCAGTTTCCACTTCAGTCAGTTGATTCAACGATGTCGGTGATAATGGACGTGAAGGATGATTCATCACTGGATCCTGAATTGGCGTTGATTGATGCGTTTTCTTCTTATTATCGGATGAATAAAGTGAGAAGAGAGAATTTCGACCAAGACGTATCCGTTTAACAGCCAACAGGAGACCAGTTCTAACATCACGGGCTTGATAACACTGGGAGAATGCACCATGCCCGAGAATAGGACCACGTACCCAGTCAACAGATTCATAATATTCATCAGAATTAGGCAACTTTTTAGTTGCCTCAAATGAATTCATCACAAATGATAAACCTGGGATAGGTAATAAAGGTTTTAATTGATTAGTGGATCGAGTCAATGCATTTCTCAACACTGTAACTTGTTCACATTGGAGATCAGCCTCGGAGCCAAGGGATCGTCCGGTATAAATAGGTTCACTAGGATTATTTGTTTTCACCTTTTTTCGATGTCTCTTTTTATTATTAGGCTTAATGTCACCGTCAATATCGTCTACGGACACGTCGGCTTCATCGTCGACATCGCCCGCCTCCCCCTCCTCCTCGTCCTCGTCAACCTCGTCCTCATCTTCATCCTCGTCTTCATCTTCGAATTCACTTGCACTGCTGTAATTACCAGATTCAGATAAAGCAACTAAATCATAGGCTGGTTCCAGGGCAATACGTACAAAAGATGAGTTCAATATTTGAGATTTAATCTTTTTTATATTCTTATCGTCGATATTATTACTATTATTATTATTATCCACGGGATTTTGATCCCGTTGTTCATTGTTATGCCTGAGTGGATCATATTTATTAACTAGATCCTTTTTATTATTATCGTTTAATTCAAAATTGTTGATTGTCACTCGCCTCGGCGGTGGTATCGGAGGTAATTTCGTTGGAATAATAGACGAGGCAATAGGCGAAGATGAAGTTGAAGAATTATGAAGGATGCTGGTACAATGTTGCTGTTGCTGCTGGTGCTGTGCTTGACTTGATGAATATTTATGTTTATTCTTACTGCTATTATCATTACTGTTAATATTATTATTTTGATTTTGAGTAATACTATTAGCTGAAGGTGAAGCGGTCAGTGCAGCATTATAACTTCTCGACGATGGGATAACAACACCATGACTAGTCGATGATGATGATGGTGATGATACCAGGGATTTAATCATTGAAGAATGTTGATCAATACCTCGTAGGATATTCCCTGTTGTATCACTTGGATACAGCAATAAGCATAGACGATTTCTAAACCATGTAGCTAATGGTGCATCTAATCGATTAATTTCTGATTCAATAAATGTGTTTGCATTGAATGTAGACGGTGGAATTGGATCGCAATGATCATTTACTGGCTCTTCATTACGCCAGGTAAGTAAGGCACGACAAGCTGTAAGAAATACACGTCTGGCCTGTTGAGGGGAAAAAGAAAATGAAAAAGAAGTCGGATTAGTCTCAAGTTATACTTCGTTAGGAGACAATATGAGTTAAACTACCACTGCCTAAAAAAGTGTGTCGGTGGCACAGAGGTTAGGACACTCGCCGACCATGCACATGGTCCGAGGTTCGAGCCCCGGTCACCAACGCACTTCTTTACCTCACTAAGCCAGTAATAAATAAAGCTGGTAAAGACGAAAGGTTGGGCCAGTTGAGGCTAGCAACCCCATCCTATAAAAATAAACATTGCTGCAGAAACTTCAAGCCTCTAGCTTGAAGGTGGCCTATGTTCCACTGGGGACGTGAAGGAAAAAAAGCCGCCTAAAGAGATGAAAGGATACTACTGCTGACCAGCGACTTGTTTCACTCTGAGACGCTTCAGTTCAACGCATCCATCAGCCTAGAAGGGAGTCGAAACTAGGACCTTCAAACAGTTGACCACTCTCACAGTCATTGGAATGTTAGCCACATCTAGACAGCATCATTGGTCAGTATCCGTCCTTACACTTCAAATTTGTGGACACCCCAGCCCACCGGTTTCGACTTCTTATTAGGATTATAAGAAGCTCATCCTTTAATCACAGTCACTAGTGAATAGATGAGAAAAAATTCATGAGTTTTTGGATTTTGCCCCAGTGGTTTAATGTTTGCCTCCTGGCGCCTCTTAACCTAAGCACCCTAGTAGGATCTTAGAGGTAAGTACTACTAAATTCTCCAAAAAGATGAAACAACTGTCTAGTACATCCTGTTGGCTTTCAGTGGTCCACTTGAAAAACAAAGTTATTTATACTTTCATTGGACACTAGCCAGTAACTAGTGTGGTGTGTCTAGCTAGTCCTTTGTTTGGTGCAGACTGAATTCTTTCAACCAGACAAGTTCTCAATGTGGTCACCATTCTAGGTATCTCACCATCACGGTGCACACTGATTTTATGATATTAGATGGTTGGAGGCAATCGGCCACAGGAAGCCTTGTCTAACCTAGATCTCGTGCTAGCTGGCACCTAACAGTCAGCAAGGCCTATCTGCAACCTTGAGGGACCTCATTTCCCTTCTGAGATTCAAACTCGTGTCACCAAGTGAAAGCTGCAGTCAGAGACGTTACCACTGAGGTATTCAGGCTAGCGATTGACCTCCTGTAGGACTGTAACGGATTTAAAATTAAGAATCTCATTGCAGCGTGTGATACTTACAAGACTTATCAGTAGTATATAAACGCAAGTTGAAAATTTTAAGTCTATTGGTTGTAGTTGTGGAAGTGTTTATTTCTCAAATCTAGATTTAGCATACGCGTTGTGGTCAAGAAATAGTCTCATTGGACAATTAACTGTTCATCTCAAGGTTGTGGATCGAACCTAGTTTGTGATGAATCTGGAAATCAATCAGATCCCTGGGCAAACTAATACTTGAAAATTCAAACTAGTTCATACTAATGACTGACTGCAGGATGAATTTACTTGGAATTCTAGTGGGAAGTTGTGACCGTCAGCGGGGTTGACCAAGTTGCGGACTTTAAGGGGGGATATTCGCCATGGATGACACTGGCTGACTGGCTGGCTGGCCGTCGCGCTATATGCATAGCGAATTAGTAGAAATGTGAGAATTCATGGGCTATTGGATACCGTCCCAGTGGTTCAAATGGCATACGAGCTCGTCTTGTAATCTGAAAGTCCTGGGTTCGGTTTCCCTCCTTGTTTTCATTGGTTCTCTTGCCATGAAGTCATCAGTTCGTGGTTCGACTTTGGAACCAATGAAACCCCTTCAACATGAACACACGTGAACATTATTCAATATCATTTCGTGTTTTATCCTCAGTAAATTTCTTTCAAATAAAATAGTGGTTGAATATATTTTTTGCAGTAATTCGTGAAATATATAATGATGATACACCCATTGTCTGGGCATTTATACATTAGTTATCACCAGGAGAACCGAACACGCCTATGCCTGACTCTTGCTAGACGAGACTAGCATGCTGTGGCGCAACCACTCAAGAGCCCTTTCCTTCTCGGCAGAAGTTGGAATTCATAGACAGTTAGGTTGAGTCCCAGTGACTTAAGGGATCTACAAGCCCGTCTCGTAACCGGAAGACCCTGGGTTCGACCCTTGGTAGGTGCGTACCACTGAAGAGTCCCAAGAAAGGAGGACGGAACAGCTGTCCAGTACTCCCTGGTTGTTTTACAATATAATTCTCTAAATCACGTCAGCCCGTGATTGATCCTGTGAATATATATAGTAGTATTAATATCCCATTTTATATTAGTTATTTATAAATATGATATATCAGATTACTTACTATACGGTTAGCCTTATACTGTGTATGATGAAAGTAATTTATGACACTCAATCCATTTGGTTGACTCAATGCGGCTGTTGTTGTTGTTGTCACCGACGTTCCAGTCAACGTCGCCACAGCCACCGCTGCTGTCGAACCTGATCCCAATGGGGATTTGAATAGAGAGATGTTATTATTATTGTTATTATTCTCATTAGCAACACCATCAGTTGTCTGTAATTGATAATGATACGGGAAACACATTGTCATATTATCTGGTTTTGGATAGATCGGGAGTAGATGACGTCGCGCAAAGACAATTGTAGAGCATAAATGTCGTCTAGCCAGTGACTGATCATTCATCGTCGTTGTTCTTGTTCTTGTTGATGACGAGGATAACAATGGAGGAGGAGGAGATGATATCGGTGGTGATGGCGTCTCTCCACCACCACCCCCTTGAACGGATACTTTTTCTCCTGAAGTGATATCAACAGTGTTGTTGTTGGCGGTGGTGTTCATCATGGCGTTGTGGCACCCAGTGTTAACTGTTTCATTCGATAGGAATGATTTATTCCCTGCGGTTGTCTGCTGCTGTTGTTGTTGTTGGATCGATAATTGTTGTATGTTTGTTTGATGCATACGAATTAATTTATCCACAATTGTTAAACGACCAATTAAGTGGGTAGCATGAAATTTCGCTGAACTTAGCACAAAACGTACCATATGCTGTATACCACTGATAGGTAAACATTGAGAAGCTGTAAAAAAAACCACACAAAAAAAACAACAGAAGTGTAGATAGAGGCTAGGAAGTACTACTAGTATAGTGTGTACTACTGAAAAGATTTATCAGTAGTATATATAAAGAGACGTTCAATAGCATAAAAAATATCAAATAGTAGGGAGATAGATTTGACGTCAAAGAAAGCAAATGATTCAGTGTTGCGGAGAAACATAGGAGACGTGGAAAGGAGGACAAAGAAAGACACTGACAAAGGCCAACACGGAAGATCTGTACAGCAAATGACGATTTTCAGATAAGGTGTTCATAATTTTCTATAGTTTGGTTTGTAAGGGTTAGTTATGTTTTTACGAGTTGATCACGGATTAATATCAGTTAGAGAACCATTGAAAACCAGGGAGTACTGGACAGCTGTTTCATCCTAGTTTGAAAATCATCGGCAGTACGCACAGAGAGATACCAAATTCCTTAATCAAGTCTCTTTTTCTTCTATCATTACACTAGAAGTAATCTTTACTAACTCACCGATTAACAAATTAAGGTACTTACCATATAATCCAATATGAAAGTTGGAAAGGAAATGCCATATTTCCTTCAGCTGTTTTAAACTGTTGGTTGGAGGCAATCGTCAGGATGCTGTGGGCGCAGATTTCGTGTTTGTCAGCAGCACTCACCGCCAGTCGTTACAGCAAGGTGTGTCTATAATTTTGATACGAATTATGTGTCCCTGTAGGATTCAAAGTCGCTTCCATCCACTGATGTAATCAAAGACGTTGTCATTGAGCTATTCGGGATGACGACTAGCCTCCTCCTCTAGGAGTGTAATGCATACATTGATTTGACCACTAGGGATCCACCCAAGTGTTATGCGTCTGATCCTTGATGTTAGTGCAGACTGAATTCTATTATAAACAGTCCACCTATCCTTATACAGTCATATTGTGGCGAGTGCTACTGATAAGATTTATCAGTAGTATATAAAGAGACGTTTATCTGCATAAAACATCAAATATCATGTAGATACATCTGATGTCAGGAAAGACAAATGGCACAGCATTGTGGAGATAGATGGGAGACATGAAAGGAACACAAGGAAACACAACATGAGGTCCAGAAGTACCACACCATGAAAATCTGTGCAAATAGTGCGTTGAAGATAAGGTATCCATAATTTGCACACGCTCAACAGTTAATAATATCTATAATGGTGTGATAAATTTGACGTCAAAGAAAGTAAATATGCCACTTTATGGAAGGTATGTAGATGATATTGTAATCATAAGTGATAAGCGCCTTGTTCTGCCACCTTAGTTTTATATCGAATGAATGAAGCTCAGAACAGCAAGTATATCACTTACGTCTGTAGAAGAGGAAGATAATCTTTTTATCTTTCCTAGACATATCGCTTAGTCGACGGCTTGATGGGGCAATAAAGCGATCTATTCATAGAAAACCTACCTACCTGGACAGGACAGTATCTTAATTACCACAGTTTCTGCCCTATTCGGTATAAAAGAGCCTTAGTGAGTGAGGTGCCTCTTCAGTAAAAACCAACGAATATGCACTGAAGACACACTTGACGAAGAAGAAAGAGAGTTGACAAAAACTCTGGTTGATAACAATTGTCCAGACAAGTTCATCAGGAGATATAAAGTAGTCAGTGGAACACGAAGACCCACTCTACAACTCGCCACTAAGAAAGACGTGTACATCAAGATACCCTATGTGGGGCATCATAGCAGCTTGATAATTAGGCAAAGACTGAACGCTGCTGTTAAAAAGACTTTGTATGCGGTTACTATCATAATAATTGAGTATGTGAAGCCAGTATATCCATCTAAGCCCTTAAAACATGCGAAAAATGATGTCACATCCCACTGTATTTACCAATTCGAATGTACGCGTGGACACACATACATAGGGAGGACTTATCGATCTCTGTAAGTAAGGGCTGGCTTCAGAGCATATTCCTAAATGGCTCCAGAAGTAAATGGAATCTTCAGAACCCATTAATGGTGAGAACAGGAGACCTAGCTCCTCTATCGCGAAACATATTATAGAGACAGGACATAAAAGCGATGTTCACACATTTTTTAAACCTATCCATCCATAAAACGTGTTTGGGGCGTATCCTAAAGTTTTTGGAAGCCCTAGCTGGCAATTAGGAAGTTTAAACCACCTTTATGCGACCAAAGCAACAATTCGTCATCACACTAAACCGCCTTCCTTGGTAAACTTTGTTTTGATACCACAACAGGCGTACTATGACCTCTGTTATTTGGTTTAGTCATCGTCATTGTTATTTTGACCTTCAGTATGTCCTTTAACAAGTCTGTGTGTGATCAGATTGTTCGAAACGTGCTGAGCAAATGCACATTACAGGATTCAGATAAATTACGTCTTCTTATGGCTTTGTTAAAAAATTAATAACTATGTTTTTTTGACAACACATCACCACTCCCCTCTTACCAATCTTCACCCCACCCCGGCCTAGTTACAATTTGATTACTTATCACAATTTTGAAATGTCTTCACAACAATAAACATAACTAATTTTTATTCTTATCGGACAAACCTAATGTACACATTCACACACACACCACAAGGAAAATACGTATATATAATTGCGATTGTACAGCTAAGTGAATGAATTCGCCGCCGAAGAAAGAGACTCTTCACTGGACTATTTTTTTTTCGATTACAGCTTGATTCCACACAGTATTTTCAGTACAAGTATAGAATTTTCAGCATGGATATCGGTAGCCCAAATTCACAGGCCGACCATAGATATCGGGTATGCGCCAGCAGGGGATCGAACCTCGGACCATAAGCATGGTCGGCGAAAGTCCTAACCACTGTGCCACCGACGCACAAATGCTTGTCACCGCCTCGAGGGTGGAGACGAGGTGAGTTGGATGGGAATCATATTCATGAATTTTAGTTATTAACATTATTGCCATCATTATTTTAAACTTTTTGTACATGTTTGACTTTATTGTCGCTGCTAACGCCAAAATGTTGATATTATCAATTTTGATTACCCATATATAACCTGTGATATACTTTTATTTTCATTGCTGTTGAGTAAATTAGATGCAATATTGTACCAAATGCTGAGAATTCCATAAGTTTTTACGAGTTGATCACGGATTGATATCAGTTAGAGAATCATTGAAAACCTACCAGCATGGAGTACTGGACAGCTGTTTCATCCCACTAGTTTGGGAATCATCGGCAGTACGCACCCACTGGGATTCGAACCCAGGATCTTCCGGTTACAAGTCCAGCTCGTACTGCCGTTGATTCCCAAAATAGGATGAAACAGCTGTCCAGTACTCCCTAGCTGGTTTTTAATAGTTCTCTAATTGATATCAATCCGTAATCAACTCGTAAAAACATAACTAACCCTTAAAAACCAAACTATAGAAAATTCCATAAGTACTGTATTGGAATAAAGCAAATTACTATTATTATTATCCTTGTAGATTACTGTGGTAGATTAAAGGGTTGACTTTGACTCCGCCTACATTGACTTGGGTGATGGATGTGTTTTTCATTCCTTGACTTCTTAGTTTTAGTAGAGATGATGTCAAGTATTGGTTTGTAGGGATTTGATTGATTGGTTACAGGATTTCATCATGAGAACCATTGGAAAACCACCTGGGAGTACTGAAAGCTGTTTCGTCAGCTTAGTTTGGGATCCTTCGGCGTTACACACCCACCACTAGGGTTCGGACTCAACACTTGACTATCAATGAGGTGCTCACTAGCGACTGACCCTATTCAGATAGGTAGTTACCTAGGGTTCTAGTGGGAAGTCGTGACCAGTAGGGTATAGCAGGTCGGGTGTGAAAACAAATACTCGCCGAAGACATTACCTGGTGGTTGCAATATGTCGTGAATTGGCAGAGGTTGAAATTAATGGACTGCCCATTAGATTGGGTCCCAGTGGCTCAATGGTCCACGAGCTCTCCTCGTAACCGGAAGGTCCTGGGTGCAAACCATAACGCTTGGTGCGTACTGATGAAGAGTCCCAAACTAGGCTGACGAATAGCTATCCAGTACTCCCACGGGGTTTTCCAATGGTGTCCTTTAACCGATTTCAGCTCATGATGAAATCCTGTCACCAAGAGATGATATCACTTTTACGAGGTGGTTCGCTAAATTCACGCCCAACTTTTCCTCTCTCCCAAGGTTTACACTATCAGCAAATAAACTATAGGTGTACTTTAGGAGTGAGTCAGTCAGCCGGGAACTCAACCCAGACTATTTCCATTGTATAGCGAGCAGTTTACCATTGAACCCCATGGACTGGTAGTACTGTGACACTAGAAGACAAGAAACTCGATAACGGAATCCTCTTTTGCAATTTGATCTCGCTCCATATAGGGAAATTTTGTACAGCTTATCTGGAAATCGTCATTTGCTGTACAGATCTTCCGTGTTGTAGGCTACTTCTACCCTTCGTCAGTGTCTTTCTTTGTCTTCTTTTCGTGTCTCCCATGTTTTTCCGCAAAACTGGTTCATTTCGTCTCTTTGACGTCTAGTCTATCAACCCGGTGTTTGAACGTCCGTTAATATACTACTGACAAATCTTATCAGTAGTACACGCCACAGTACCACATAAATTAAGTATGATTCACATAGTTTAGTGCATAAAAAGCTGCATGAATAATAATAATAATGTTGATTATAATAGGAAGGATTCAACTTACCACAATGAACTTCTCGACCAAGTGCCAGAGCCCCTGATTGACCTTTAGCTAATTCTATCAATGTAGCCAAGGCTAGATTGGAACGATCACGGAAATTAGCAGGAGCAGGAGCAGGAACAGCAACAGGCGAAGCAGCAGCAGCAACAACAACAGCTGCAGTACTAAGAGGAGACGGATGTAGGGATAAATGAGATTTTGTCTGTAAAATATCCAATTCATTATTCATTATCCCTGACGTTTCAATTGGCTTATTGATTGATTGTGAAGTGATGTGATGATCAAACGCCTTTATATCTTTATGCGATAATTTAACTGTTCTATTCTCATCGTCTTGATGCAGTGACAGAGGGGGAATAGGCGGATTATTTACATGGATTAGGGATTCTGGACTACGTAAACTCCACAGGTTACTTGATCCACCGACAAACCGCAGTAATCGGCGTAGAATTGGACCGATAGCTTTTTGTAAAGCAGATTGTGTTTCTTTATTATAACAAACTAAATATCCGAGTAATTCACGAAAAGCTCTCTAGCAAATTGGGAGAAATTTAAAGACAGAAAAAAGCGAGTTAATATGTGCAAAAGATTATGAGTAAATAGTAAAAATAACATAACAAAATACATATAGATGATATGTATTCGTGTAATGTGTGGTTACTAGGGAGGTTTGGTGGATAGCGACTAACACTGGAATACAAGATAACATGAATTTAGTCCTATTTTGAGACTCGTCGGCTAACTAATTGGATTTACCTGCCTCCCCTCTCCCCAATGAGTCAGTCATGGTATTCCCAGTACTCATATTTTCGAACACAAACTGGGACATATGCAAGTGAAAATCAACGAGTTGGCGATAGAAGAAGCATCAAAGATAGGACTTACTTCAGATGAACATAGGGAAAACAGAGGTGATGAAGATTCCTGACCAACAGCAACAGCAACAGGTAACAGTCAGCATAAATCGGAGGAGTTTGAAAGAAGCAACCTCCTTTACCTACCTACCTGGGAAGCATCGTTTCAACTACAGGCGCACGGAACTGATGAGGATATCAAAGCGAGGATCGCGAAAGCAAGGCAAGTTTTCATTACTCTCAAGTGTCTGCATAGAGGTCAACAGCACTCAGCATGAAAAATAAGATCCGGATTTTCAACTCCAATGTGAAGTCAGTGCTACTATACGGATCAGAGACTTTGCGCCACGCCACGTCACGAAGGGCACTTCGAACAAACTACACACCTTCATCAACAGCTGTTTTCACCTAATACTACTCAAGATCAGATGGCCAGTCAGAAAAGATCAGCAACAGAGAGGTATCTCTTGGAGCGAACCAACTGAGAGTGTTGGCCAGGGATCGAACCCCGAACCATTTGTGGCGCGTTTGGCGAACATTCTACCGCTGTGCCACCGACGCGTTATGTGCATATTGGAGTGGTTATATGCGGAAGTTTGTCCTTTGCATTGCTTAGAAGCATTGGGCAATTAGAGAATATCACTCTTAGTGTTGTCGAAGGACACACACCCAAGTACTCAACTATGATAGCAATAATTTAATTACTCAGAGGAGAAACTGTGTGCAAACACCGTTTACAAATGAGTTCAAACATACTGTAGCATTCCGGTGTTGAAGAGAATGGAAGAGAAATACCTACTAACCGTCTTCAAGAAGAATGGATATCCTTACAATTTCATCAAAAAATGTTTAAACTCGAGTCATAACACCAACAACAAGCCAACATCAAAGATGACAAGAAAATTCATCCTACCATATTTAAAAAAATATTTTGATGATAGCTTGATTCCGTGAGTCGGTGGCATAGCGGTTAAGACGCCCGCCGATCATGCACATGGTCCAGGGTTCGATCCCCGGCCACCGACGCACTCCTTTACCTCGCTAAGCCAGAAATAATGCTGGTGAAGAGGAAACGTTGGGCATGAGGCTAGCAGCCCTATCCTGTAAAATAAACACTGCTACAGGAACTTCGAGCCACTAGCTTGAAGCCCTATGTTCCACTGGGGAACGTGAAGTAAAAAGAAATAGCTTGATTTCACACCATATTTTTGGTACTAGTGAGGAATTTTCAGCATATGATATCGGTAGACCAAATTCTCCGGGCCGACCATTGATATCAGTTGTGCGTCGGCAGGGAAACGAACCCCGGACCATGTCCATGGTCGGCGAGAGTCTTAACCGCTGTGCCACACCGATGCACAGCTAGAATATTAAGACTGTTTGAAATAGATATAGCACACAAGCCAGACAGCACAATCACTTCATTCGATATTGTGCGAACCGAAAGATCCAACAGAAAAAGAAGGAAGATAAAATTAATACTATTTACAAAATAAACCGCATGAATGAACTGCAATAAACATTACACCGATAAAAGTGGGCGTCCCCTTCAAATCTCAATGCAAGAATATAAATTTGCAGTGAAAAAACACGATATCGTGTAGTTTTCTTTCACATCCATGCATGTAGATAATTTTGGACACCAATTTGATGATTGGGAGAATGTAGAAATTTCAAATAGAGGAAATACCAAAAATGCAGTCAGGAAATTTTTAGAAGCCTGGTTGGTACTCAAGTGAATTAGCAATTAACAAACACATTGCCTCTATAGACCAAATTTATCAGCTAATAAAAAGTAAATCGAATTCCAAATCAATAAAAATGATCAATAGAGACGAAAAAGGAGCTTGTCAGGGGGAGATACAATCATTTCATCATTCATTGAGAATTCAAATAAGTTCATGTCATTCTAAAACCTGCGCTGAAGATGTCTAGAAAGGCAGACAACGAAATTTTCGCAATTAAATCAAACAGCTCCTCCTCAGAGGAGACAACGAAGACAAAGAAAGCTCCTCTCTTAGGGAACTCGAGATTCTCTTCTGTATCTCCCTACCTCTTCTCTATATTCATCTGAAATCCTGTCTTCTCTGCTTTGCTGTTTCAGCTTATTGGTTTTCCATGTGTTTTGTTTTCTAAAATCTCCTTTTGTCAATCCACTCACTCAGTGTATGCACCCCATTTTCATACATTTATATAACATCCCAAGCTTACTATAATGCTGAATTAAATCTCACTAATTCTGAAATAATTCTAACATTCTGTTATTATTATATATTATTGTTCCCTTGGGTTCCTAGTGGAACATAGGACTTCATCTGCACGTCTCCACTTGCTTCTGTCTTCTGCTGTACTTTTCACTTGCATCCATGTTAGTCCATACTGTTTCAACTCCTCTTCACACGATCTCCTCCATGTCACCCTTGCACCGACGAACCACTCGCCGCTTCCCTTTCGGGTTCCACTCGAGCATTGGCCTGACGCGCGATGTCACCCAACGGCCTCCTCAGCGAGTGAGTGTCCAATCCATCTCCACTTTCTCCTGCATATTTGTTGAGCGATTGGTTCTTGTTTTGTTTGTTCCCATAGTTTCTTGTTTGTGATTCTTTCCGGCCATCTGATCTTCAGTATAGAACGAAGGCAGTTGTTGATAAAGGTCTGCAACAGGCTGTTGGAAATATTCTTGGTGACACTTTGGCCAAGTTTTTGATCCATCCGTATAGAAGAACTGACTGACTTGACGTTTGTATTGAAAATCCGAATCACTTTGTTGTTGATGCAGGCTGAGTGACGAAGATTTCCAGATTGGTTTCAGGTTGATGAATGTGTTTCTCGCCTTCCCGATTCTCGATTTGACATCCTCCTCGTCCGTTCCTCCTGTAGTTGAGACAATGCTCCCTACCTAGATAAGTGAATGAAGTGACCTCTTTCAAATCCCTCCCGTTGATGGTGATTGGCGCTGGATGTTGCTGCTGCTGTTGTTGTTGTTGTTGTTGGTTGTTTATTTTCATAACCTCCGTCTTGTCTATGTTCACCTGGAGTCCTGTCTTCTCTGGCTGCTTCTTCAACCAGTTTGTCGGTTTTCGCTTGTAAGTCTTCAATTTTGTGTGACATCAAACATAAATCATCCACGCACGAAATCCAGGTCTTCTAGGTTCTTCACGTCGGTCCAGGATATCCCTGTCTTCTCGTTTCCCACTGTCTGACGCATAATCCAGTCCACCACAATTAGGAATATCATTGGTGATAATAAGCACCCTTGTCTGACTCCTGTGTTTACTCCAAAAGCCTCGCTGAGTTTTCCGTTGTGGATCACTTCACATGTGCCATTGTCGTACAGCTGTTCGTTGAATAAGGTTGATGAATATTTGGGGTACTCGAGTAGTTTCCAAATTACTTCACGGTCAACACTGTCGAAGGCCTCTAACATTCTATAGTGAGTAAATTATGAATCTGTTCTGAAATGGATCCTTTAATGGCACAGACTAGAACTCAGTGCTAGTTTCCAGCATAACTGGCACTAATTCAGCACCGTGTTCTTTTTCTAGGCATTTTTAGGAGTAGATCAGAACCTACTAGGTTTGTTTATCAGCATTGTTCCAGCCCTCACAGGACATATTAAGCACGGACTAGCGTCACTTCACAACGAAAAGACTTAATTCAGCACTCAGCTCTCTTTTTAAGGACGACCAGCGTTATTTCAGGACATAGTGAGTAGATAAAATTTTCATTCACCATAAAAAGGCATTATCGAGGAATAGGTTAGAATAAGTTAAGAATGGTTGTAAGCTTGGGATTGTTATTTAAATAAACAAGAGATTAGGAGTAATCATCAACGATTAAAAGCATTCAAACACTACCACCACCGCCGCCTACACTTACCAGGGCATCAGTGAATATTGCATCAACTGGATCATCTAACATATGCTGAATTAATTTAAACATTATACGTACACAATCAGGTCCTGTATACATTCGATGATGATGATGATGATTTTTACTTGATGAGGATGGTGAGGAACCGCTAACAGCAGCACCGCCACCAGAGCAACAACAACAGCACCCACAAGCGGGATCATTGTCACCAACACCAACGCAATGTTGATTATCATTACTATTATTATTACTGTTATTAATAGTAGAATTAATTGAACAGACAAGATTATAATGATCCGAGTGTAAATGACATTGACGAGCTAACAGGACTTGACGGATTGTTAAATGAGTTGTTTGTTGTAAGGCATATTGTCTGATTGTCCAATCATAAGAGACTAATGCATTAGCAATCTATACAGGGGAGAGAATAAATGAAAATATGAAGTTAATTCATTACAAAATTATAAAAAAAAGTTTATCATTATAATCTACGAATGTTTGGCATGCGATTCGCTTCCGCCAAATGCAGGATAATGTTACAGGATTGGACTACACCGACTCCTAGATTACAAATAGGAAGTGAAGTGGTAGAGCACGTTGACCGCTTCACTTATTTGGGAAGTACCATCAGCCCCAACAGGTTGATCTCTGACAAAATCTCAGCACGGATACAGAGGGCTAGTTTCGCATATGCCAGTTTACGCCGTCTCTGGCGTAGACGTGATATCCGGCTGGCTGTCGACCAAAGGGCGTGTGTACTGCTCAGCAGTCCACCCCGTCTTCCTTTATGGCTGGCTGTGAGCGCGACATGGCCGTTGAGAGTGGAAGACATGAAAGAACCGTCTAGCTGTCTCTGGTCATAGGTGCCTGCGTTCTATCTCCCGTGTGAAGTGGTATAATAAGGTTAGCAATATTGAGGTTAAGTATCGATCGAGTTCTAGGTAAGGAAGGGAAATCAATAAACGAGGCTGTGAAATTACGTCGACTGAGATGGTTAGGACATGTGCTACGTATGCATACCTAGTCATCGCCTTCCTCGACGGACAATGATAGCTGACATAGGGTCAGGCTGGAAAACAGAAAGCCAGTGGTGTTCAAACCAAAACATGGCTTCATCAGTCAATGAAATCCACGACAGTTAGTCTAAGCCGGCCACGTAGGAACGTGTAGACTTCGTGGCTGGGGTCCTCGAGACGGTAAAAACCAATGGTTCGAAACAGTTGATGACATGGCTCAAAGTGATCATTGTCAATGGCTAGCGTAGATACATCCACTCCTTGTGACTTATGATTTCCAATGAAACTGTTTTGTTCTTCATTATTACTATACCTTTGTCTCATACCTCTGTTTACTGTCTATATTATGCATTTCTCCTAATTTCCTCTCTTGCTTTGTGTGCTACACGGAGTGTGGTGACTTGAACTGCCGCACATATGTGCAAAGTTCTATGTCGAAAACCGACCGATCGATCCTCTAGCTAATCCTTTCCTTGGTGCAGACTGAATTCTATCAGTCAGGTTTGCAATGTGACAACCATTCTAGGTAGCTCACCATCACGGTGCACATTGATTTGATGATATTACATGGTTGGAGGCAATCGACCACAGGAAGCCTTGTCTGACCTAGGTTTCGTGCTAGTTGGCAATCACCAGTCAGCAAGACAGGCGTATCTGCAACCTTGAAGGAACTCATGTCCCTTCTGAGATTCGAACTCATGTCACCCAGTGAAAGCTGCGGTCAGAGACGTTACCACTGAGCTATTCAGGCTTGCGATTGAGAATCAGATTGTTTGGTTATTTCAGTTGTGTGATGTAATTACACTAAGCAACATCATATCACACATACCACATTGGCATGTATAAAAAAAGCCTATTTAGAAAGATGTGCACCTACTTCGATTAGTAGTAGGCAGTAAACAAAAGATATATATTAATAATAATAATAATAATAACTATTATAACTCCTTTGGGTTCCGAGTGAAACATAGGGCTTCAACAGTCGTTAGCTGGCTCTGGGTTATCGATCAAAGGACGTTTGTACTACTCAGCAGTTCTCTCCATCTTCTTGTAAGACATGGCCATTAAAAGTGGAAGAAATGAAAAATCTGGTTAACTGTTTTTGACCACAGGTGCCTAAGTTCTGTCTCCCGTGTTAAATGGAATAATAGGGTGAGTAAAATTGAGGTTAGATATCGGTCGAGTGCTAGGCAAGGAGGGGAAATCAATCGATTGAGGTGACTCGTGAGGTGTTACTCATGACTAGCCATCGTCTTTCTCGACAGGTAATGTTAGCTGATAATATAAGCACGTTGGAAAAGAGTTAGTGGTGGTCCAAACAAAATATGGAATTAGTCCATGAAGTTTTTGACAGTTAGTTTGAGCTCCGTAGGGGGAGGTACACCACTTGGCCAGTTGTCGTCTTCTGAACTCCAAGAATCAATGGCTGAAGACAATTGGTGATATCGCTCCAAATCCTCGTTCCCAACAATGCAGATGCCTTCACTCTTTGTGATCTGCCATTTGCAGTTAAACCCCTTTTTTGGTTACAGGATTTCATCATGAGCTGACATCAGTTAGAGAACCACTGAAAAACCCGGGAGTAATGAACAGCTGTTTCGCTAGCCTAGTTTGGGAATCATCGGTAGTACGCACCCACCACCATGGTTCGAACCCAGGACCTCCCCGTTACCAGGCCGATGAGCTCATATGCCATTGAGCCACTGGAACCCGATCCAACGGCCAGTCCATGAATTCTAACTTCTGACAATTCACGACATAGCGCGACCATTTCACAATGTCTTCTTCAATGAGTAACTGCTCTCACCTTCAACCTGTTGCACCCTACTAGTTACGGCTTCCCACTAGAACTCCAGGTTAACTGCCTGAATAGGGCCAGTCCCTAGTGAGTATCAGATAAGGCAGTAACTCATCGAAGAAGACATTGAGAAATGCTCGCGCTATGTCGTGAATTGGCAGAAGTTAGAATTCATCGACTGGCAATTGGATTGGTGGGTCCCAGTGGCTGAATGGTCTACAAGCTCGCTGACCTTGTAACCAGAAGGTCCTGGGTTCGGACTCTGGTGGTGTTCGCATACTGACGAAGCGTCCCAAACTAGGCTGGCGAAACAGCTGTCCAGTACTCCTAGCTGGTTTTCCAATGGTCCTCTAACTGAGTCAGCTCATCATGAAATCCTCCATCCAATCAAACAAAATCCCTACAAAAATACCAATACTTGAAAAACCCATTTTTGATTTTTCGTGTTGCTCTTCTTTATCCATCATATTTCTGTTTATTATGTCTCTCACTTTTGAACAAAGAGACATTCACTGTCTCTTTACTCTCTTCTCTTGCTTTGTGTGCTACATGGAGAGAGTATGACAAGTCGAACTGCTGTACATCTGTGAAAGTTATCACACAAATAAACATACATACAACTGAATGCAATCACAACCAAGGTTGTCCGTCTAGTGATACAATTATATCATTCATGTGGAGAATTCTAATTTAGTCGTCAGCTAACTGGATGTACCTGTATTCCACACAATGTTCCCAGTGAGGCTCGAACCCAGTACCCATCATTTCAATTAGGATGAAATAAGCCTCCTGGATTCCACAGCTAGTCACCATCCACCACCAAATTACTTCAGGTTGAATCTCCTTAGACATCATCGAAGCATCCGTGTACAAGGAAGTCAACACGTCAACACAAAGGTCGAACACTTCAGGTCCAATGAATCAATCAACAGTAAAAATTAAAATTGATTTAAGAGAAAGAAAAAAAATAAGTTCACACTTCATATTTGAAGAGTCTGCGCCCCTGAAGATGTTGTGTGTCTGTCTACACGGTGGAGACACAATGAAGAAAGCTTCGCAATTCAACTAACTATACTCCATACAATAATCAAGTGTTGGTTTGTAGGGATTTTATTTGATTGGTTACAGGATTTCATCATGAGCTGACATCAGTTAGAGAACCATTGGAAACCACCTGGGAGTACTGGAGAGCTGTTTCGTCCTAGTTTGGGACTCTTCATCAGTACGCACCCATCGCCAGAGTTCGAACCCAGGACCTTCCGGTTACAAGGCGAGCTAGCTCGTAGACCATTGAGCCACTGGGACCCGATCCAATGGCCAGTCCATGAATTCTAACTTCTGCCTATTCACGACATAGCGCGACAATTTGATCGGGTCCCAGTGGCTTAATGGTCTACGAGCTAGCTCGCCTTGTAACCAGAAGGTCCTGGGTTCGAACCCTGGGGGGTGGGTGTGTACTGCTGAAGAGTCCCAAACTAGGACTACAGAAACAGCTGTCCAGTACTCCCAGCTGGTTTTCCAATGGTTCTCTAACGAATGTCAGCTCATGATGAAATACTCTATACAATCCTAGCAACTCATGAGAAGGCAACCCAGATCAAAATGTTTGCTTTTATTATCATTATTATTTCTGATGATATAGGCAACGAGAGGAGAGGAAAAAAAGTTACTTCAACGGAAATATAAAAAACAACGAACACTACTCTCCAGACGACACCACCACCCCCCAACTACCCACCCAATTATTCAGACAATAATTTTATCAGACTAAATATAAAGTCAGACAGGTGTGTAAAGGAGAGAGAGAGAGAGAGACGGGGGGAGGGAGATGGAAAACATTGAAAATTATTATTTTGATCATATGATGTGATATACCGGTACATATAGTCAGGCAGGCAGTCAGCCCGCGTCTGTTAGACGTATTCAAGGTTATACAATAGAATTCAATGTTTTCAATATTTTCATTTAATGTCACATGTGACTCAAATGTAACATAAAATTAGGCGTTTATTTTAGTTAATAATAATAATAGTAACAATATTATTGTCTAAAACTAGTTTAATAGTTTCATGTCGATGTTTATTTTGTTTTTCAACTGTCCGATAATTAAGGAGTAAAAGGCTTTTTTAACAGCCAGTCATAAATGCAATATCCACTGTTCACCCAGCATTTCAAAGATTTCTTACCTAACCTTAGCTTTTCTTTTCGATGTGGGTGTGTTCTCTGAGCTGGATAGTTAATTCTCGAAGCTTTCATCGCCCTACTAGGCGACATCTTCGGCGCATACTTCAATTTGAAGTGAGCTTTTAGATTTCTCCACGAGTTTATTAATCATCTCTCTTGGTGCCCTTGGGTGTTATTGGTTGTTTTTGTGTGTTTTCACACAAACACACAAAGGGTCAAAGTTCAAGTCAAAGAAACAATGAGTTACAATACAAATAACCTAGAAGGTGTGAAAACACACAAAAACAACCAGTCACGTCCAAGGTCACCAGGAGAAATGATTAATAAACTCGTGGAGAAATCTAAAAGCTCACTTCAAATTGAAGTATGCGCCGAAGATGTCGCCTAGTAGGGCGATGAAAGCTTCGAGAATT